AAAAAGCCACTGGCAGGCAAAACTGGTGCCATGGGTGCTGTGGGACTGACTGTCTGTCCTGGGGCGGGGAGGGAGACACTGCTGCAAGCCTGGCTCTAAGCTGCTGTGTTCCCAGTTACCAACCAATCAGTCATGATTCACTCGGGGACCAGGGACTCAGGGACCAGCTCAAGACACAGGACCTAGCTGCTACATAACGACTTAACAAGCATCAATTAGCACCTACAAAACCAGGCTAAGGAGAGAAAAGACTCAATACAGACAATCAACTGCCCCAGGACAGACAGAGTCTTGGCAGGAGTTTTGCCTGTCAGCAGCTAGGGGTGCAGGGCCCCAGGACTCCCCCGCACTGATCTCCTTGACAGCTGGCAGGCGTCACATTGGGGCCACCACCCCTGCAGCTGTCACCCCGCTGCACCTTGACACACGTAGGGTCACCCATGGCACGAGTTCTGCTTGTCCGCAGCTTGAGGGGCAGTTCCTCCCAAACCCCTGCACCGATCTCCTTGAAACTTGGCAGGCTTTGTGGCCTCAGCAAGAGCTACCAGCCCTGCAGTTTTGACCCCTCTGTGGTGTAACACATAGACGTGACAGGAGTCTGGCTTTCAAGAATTTGGAGTACAGTTACCCCAAAACCCCTGCACTGATCTTCTTGAAACTCAGACAAAACTTGTGTTTTGTCCAATTTGGTAGCCTCTGCTACCATCCCTGCAAGTTTCATCCAAATTGGACAAAACACAACAAAGTTATAGCTATTTCATTGATTCCCCATTGTCCCCTGTGGCCGGATCTCCGAGGCGGCTCCAAAGCTTGGGCTGGACCAAGGCTGAAACCCGGTCGGAGCCCTGGAGCAGATCGCGGCCATCCAAAATGGCTGGATCCAAAGCCGGATCAGATCGCTGCCAACTCACACCGGCCTAATTGTCACAGCCAAAGCTTTGGGAGACGGACAGCTGACAAGCCCAAGCTGCTGGCTGACACTGAAACCCACATCCTGCCTCATCACCCCCCCCCATTTATTTGCTAAGTGGGCCTTTATCCTTACACTTACCTGCACTATCCATAACCAGTCCCTGCAGGCTCTGAAATTCCCAAAATTCCCATTGAGGTCTAAGTGTGAACTCCTTACCCAGCGAGACTGACCTCTCTGAGTGGCATATTATGCGCCAAGTCTGTACCGCTTGCATCCAT